TATTTTGTAGCAAAATGACTAGAACGAGTCATAAGAAAAACCGTCCGTTTGATTTTAAATTAATATCGCTTGTGGAACCCCATCCGGTGCTTTATCAGCGGCACTGGAGTGGTCTTTCGACTTTCGACTGTATGAAGGAGAAAACTCGTATATGGAATGAGATTGCCAAAGATATGGAAGCCAGTGGTAAATGCATTAATCTATACATACATAAGCGAAACCTTTCTTATTTTTTTTGTAGCCGACTTTTGCATCAGTCGTTGGAACAATTTAAAAAATCATTTTTTTCGTGAACTGCGCCACTGTCACCAGCTATGCCCTAAGGAAGGCATTATTCGGGGGTCAACGTGGCCTTATTTGGAGAGAATGCATTTTCTCCAAAGAACGGCACCATTTAATAAGCCTAGTAAATGTGAACAGACCTATCGGTCTGTGGAACACTTGGAATCAGCGGAAGAAGAAATGTCCGAGACCCAATCAAATGATAACTTGCAGCCTAATGAGAGTTACATAGAGTTTGAAGAATTATCAAATGATATTTTAGATAACGAGAAAAGTGTCGTATTACCAGATCCCGACCAAATGATTAAAGAGCGTTTGGAGAATTTCAACCAAATGGCAGAGTTGTTGAAGAACATTCCCAGCGAGACCAAAATTCAAGCAGAACGTCGTATAATGGCTTATTTATGTAAATGTCAATTAAGAGCCTTAGTAAATAAGGGAATTGACGACTTGTCAATTTGAAAACGAAATCATGGTTGCATATTTCCTCTTGTGCGAAATTAACTGCTTATACATATGAGAAAGTGTTGTCCAAAAAGGTACACATGTCAAAACGAAACGATTTTGAATTATCTCGAAAAACTGCTTGAGCGAATGGACACGAGTCCTTTTGTTTCAGCAATGAACTGAAATTTGATGAATGTAGATAGATGGAAACAATATCCAACCGAAATCTAATTTTTGTTTACTTCTGCACATCACCTCCTCATATGTATGTTGTAGCAAAGCTAGAGTTGCATTGTCTTGTATATGTGTATATGTATATTTCATAGACCTGACAAAAAATAAACTTTAATCTCACGGTTACTTAAACAGTTATCTTTTCTAAATCTGCCCATGCTATTTTGGGTTTTTGTAGAAAATCTTCGCGTTGCAGTTGATCTAATAAAACTGTTTGCTCCCGTACGTACTTCACCAGACGTTCAATTTTTATAATGTCGTCACAATTCATAGCGAAGAAGCGGCGCCATAGCGCCCCAGCTAATACGCGGTCATCTGACATAATGCCTTCGTCATATGCAATTAGTGCCGCCTGAAACTGTTCCGAAAGAATTTCGATTTGTTCTCGGGTTTTAGATGGATTATGAGTCTACAAATAAAAATTTTCAATATATACTTTAACTATATTTTTTGAGGATTATTTTTACTCCTAGCTTTTTGGCTCGTGCATTCACGTCGCCCCACATAACTTCTACAATGCAGTTACGAAGAAAACGCCCATCTTCACCAGATTCAGATCCCTCAGCCATAGCTCGAACAAGTAACATCCACACATGCAATTCAGTCACGAGGAACCAGGAGTTAAATGTGTTGGGCATATCGAAAGCTTTAAAGAAGTTCAGGTAGTTGATTTTATCAGCCACGCTTTCGTACAACAAATGACTGGACACTCTCAAGCGCTAAAATGGCATTAGTTTAGTTATTACTAGATAAAAACATAATTTAATCTCGGAACTAACGGTTTTTGTGTTGGGCGAAAAGCCTACTCGTTTAAGAACTCGTTTTAATATGTTGTCATCTGAACTTTCGGGCTGATTGTTGACCACATCTGTTCGGGTTGTGGTGCTATATTCCTGGGCATTCTGTGTGCTCAGCCGACATGGTCGCACAGAAGCAGTAGTTGTAATCACCAAATTATTGCTCTTCCTCAAAATCTATTAAAATGTTTAACATATGTACATATGTATGTGAATACGCATGTTTTGCTAGAAGGCAGTTTACAGTTTACATAAGCTTTAATGTACAATGTACAATTTCACAACTCCGCCACAACACGATAATTTTTTGTAATTTACCTCGATGAAACTATTTTTGCTTCGATAAATTCGCGTCAAATGTCGAAGGTGCAGCATTTTCTAATTTCGACTTATTGAGATTATTAAAAAAAAAAAATGTAAACACAATTGCGAGCAATGTGAATTTAGCAAAGTACGTTCAGTGCAAGGCGAATTCGCCTTGAGGGAAACCAAGGCGCATCAATTCCATGTGATAGCGATTGAAGCTGTGCTTCTTCTTATAAGCACGCTGGTGTCAAATTATCGTCTGTTTTGCTTTGTTTACGTATCCGTGTGCACTTACACATATACGTAAATATATACCCTGCAAACAAATGCTCCCGAAACCTTTACGGAAATTTGTTACGATTCTTTTAGGAATCTTCAAAGAAAAACATATGAAGCGGTTGACATGAACTAGTAAAGAAATTTCTGTACGATTACTTAAAGAAATATCTTTAAAAAAAAGTAATTGTTCGAAGTTGTTGTTGTTTTAGATTGAAAATGAGCATGATTCAATTATTAAAGGTTTTGTAAGTAGCTTTTTTCTTGGGGAGATCATACCACTGTCAGAATATTAACCATTCGCCGGGTTTCACGAAAAAAAAATTTGAATGAGTAAAAATATCAAAATAAAAAAAAAATATCAAAATATTCGCCATAAAAAGGCGTTTGCATTGTTCTACTTTGCATTCTACTTTCAACTAATCGCTTTCAACAAAGTTGGTCGCCAGCCAACATTCGCCTCGTGCGTACACCTTTTAAGTGTGCAATTACATCGCGCCATTGACTAAACCGAGCTGTCGTGTGACCATTGGGCCTATGGATGCGGTTTGGCAATGTTATATTGCGTCAAAGTCTCATTCGGAGACACCAGGATTGTGGAGGACAATACCTAAATACCTTCGTTGGCTCATTTACCAAAACCATTGCACGCTTTGCTTTACAGCGAGTTGGCGGAATCAAGAGGTCTCCGCGAATATCGACAAATACATTTCGGCATTTAAGGGAATTTCGTCTCTTTAGCCTACATTGAATTTCTGTAGTCCAACGATTCTCACCCATTTTGATTTGTTGGCGCCTTTCATTATTGAATCATAGAAAATGTGAATGTGTGTGTGTTTGTGTGTAAAATTTTAAAATTAAATTGCTTGCAAACGTCAAGAATTTGAAAAATTCCTCTCAGCGGTTCTACCTTCCTATTTTTTTTTATCATGGTATGCAGGGTATACATATACATACGAATATGAAAAGATAAAGATGTTGATGACACAAGTTCATACCAACGGTAAATGTTGTTTTTGTATGATTGCAACAACCTGTAGTTATTGAATCATGGAGGGAAACTATTAAAAATGTTAATATTCGGGATTACAAAGCCCTTTAAAATAAATTCCGACGTCAGAGTAAAAATAAAAACGCCAATTTAAATAAAAATGTAGGTTTCAATCCCATTTATTTATTATTTATTTTATGGTAGCTTGTCAAACAATATAGAAGCAATTTTTTTCGATTTAAGTTGTTGGAAAGTAATGAATATCCAAATCCCGGAACTAATCCCGGCTCGCGCCATGACATCCCGAAAATCCCGGGGTTGTAAAAAGCGAAAAAATTAACATCCCTAGAAACTATGGAATGGAGAAAAACGCGTTGTCAAAATCAGCTGATTCTCAAGGAAGCGCGAATTTAAGTGATGTGAATCGTGATGCATTGTACATTACTAATATTTGTATACATATAAGTATTTTCTAGTAGAAAAATGCCTATTGTAATAAAAACGTAAGTAACTTAGCAGAGTAAAATTTTTGAATAGCTACATATAAACTCATGCTGTACTACCAATCTAAAGGGATTGTTTAATTTAGACAATTGGTCTTATGCATAAAATCTAAGCAAAGTTTTCTTTAAAATTTCAGAACTCGATTTGTTCAAATAAATTTAAGCGGTATGAAATTTCAAGAAAACGCAGTCTCAATTTTTATGCATACGGGCTTATATTCATACATACGTATGTATGTTCAATTGTAAGATAAAAAATATTGTCAACCGAGTAGATATATTGATAAAACAAATTAGACTATGTATATTGTTACCTTAATATAGAAAGGCCCTACCTCACATCGTCGCTGAAATGAAAAAAAACGTAACCAACTAAAATCGTTTATTCCCTAAAACGATGTGGGGACTTATAATTCGATGAAATGCATCATAATCAATCAAAAAGTAAATTTTGGATTTTTAGTTACGTTAGTTAAATATGGTTTTAGTACAATTCAAATTTACTAAAATACCAAATAGTAATTGCTGAAGTCTAGAAAAAGAAGTCTGATGAGGAGATGTGGTGATCTCCGAAATAGTGCTATAACTTCTACCGCTTAGACTTTGTTGCTTTTTCAATTTTTCCTAATAAACAATCGTGGTACAAAGCTCAATAAAAATATTAAAAATAAAATGTTAACAAGCCACAATAACATTGACAAATACGTAATTGTTTTATCCGTTCTTTAAAAAATTGTTAATTCAATGATTACTGTAGTATCCCCACAAAGTCTGCCATATTATGGAGTAGGATATTAAACAAGTATGTATATTTACATATACTTCATAGCAGATATAACCATGTACATAAGGATCAACACATGCATACATACATACGTCTATTAACTTTTAGATAACATTATCAATATAAATACATTATCCTCGCCCACTAGATCATTTTTTACTCAATATAAATACTAGTATTTTAAATGTCCTACAGACCCTCACCAACTGGCCTCGAAGAATATGCAATCGTAGAGCTTCAGGGTGATCTCGAAATACGATCCGGCGAGAATATACACGATCTCTTCATAGGCGATTTATATTACAATAAATACGGCCAGCCAGTAAGATTTCCTAGCCCTATAATTTTAATCCCATGCCTACCAATTTTCTTTGCATCATTTTAGATACTTATAATTGGTCATCATATACTACAAGGACGTGAGCAAAAGTTAGAAAAACCATTTGCAGTTCTCGAGAAAACAAAAAGCAATGAAGGACGGATGTTATTAGGCGAAACGAGTATAACATGTGATCCCGACGCTACTTTAAATAGGACGGTCGATCGCACTGTTCTAGATAACACAGTTGCTTTGGAAAATAAATCGCGCCAAAGCACTGAGTACAGAGTACGCGCTCTATGCACCAAGAAGCTCACCTTCAAATCACGACCAAAGCCAATCATTGCGAATATTGCAGCCACAGTATAAGGTTAAGAACTGAACTAAATTGTTGGACATGTACATATTTAATGACATTTCAAAACATGATTTTAAACATAAAGAAATATGTACATACATTTAAAAAAGGATTATTAATTACACAATTTCCATTTCTCGTTCTATGCCCACGAATTTTAGCTGTTCTGTAGGGCCATATCTGTAGTCGAAAAACAATTCTTCTCCCGGTTGAATTGCACGCTTAGCAAATATCCCAATTCTATGGTCACCAGTAACCATCATTACTTTAGCGTAACAATTTGGATTGATGGAATGATTAGCGAAACGTATTTTATTGCCCTTACGAGTAGCATCCACCACAAAATCGTTGTTTAGGTTGAATAAGAATGAGCACATGTACTTATCATAGACTTTGCCTCGGCGATCGGCTTCATCCTGTGAAATAATTTCGCCACAATACTCCGAGATAAACTCGTTTTTCTGGGCACCTTCTTTGAGAAATATGCCCCAACCGGCTATATCGGACGGTGCCATTAGTAAATGTTTATCTGGAATAATCAGATATTAGCAACAAACTATAAGGAATAAGTTCAATTTGTTTACGTAATCCACGCTGCACGCAAACATTCTTGCAAGTGATTTTCGTCAGCTTAAACTGGTCGGCGCCGCAGGCCTGACACAAATCTGGATCGCATTCTCGCACCGCCAAATAACATGGGCATTGCTTTGTGTTACATTGGGCCTTACAACGACAACCAGGAAAACGATTTTGACAATCACTGCTGCAGTTGCAGAACTTCTCGCAAAAGTTCTGTGTCTGAATGCAAGAACAATTCATGTCACATGGTCCGGCATGATCACATGGTGTATAATTGTAAACATGGTTTGATGTAGAATCCTTTTTCAACTGTATTTTGCGGCAATGGAGCGACCATAGGCGCTGCTTCTTCTTCTTCTTCCTTGGTGGAGTATAGTCTTGACGCAACTCCTCAATGCAAAATTCTGCCTCCTCCTTTTGAGCAAACTCATACACCTTTAATTAATAATAAATGATAAGGGGAGAAGCACGCCTAAGTATAAGTACATACTTGTTGACACGTTTTTGTTAGCATTGTTTGGGCAATAGCGCAATAATTTTTCAAAAATACTTTGTGCAATGTGCGAAATAGAGACTGGTCAGCTCCCGTCCAGTCACATTTTGTGTTAGTTGTATTCATCATTCCAGCTAAAATAAGAATTTTTACTTCAAGCAATTAAATTTACATAAAGCAAGTAAAGTCATACCCATTATAGAGTTTATTTCGGCGGAGGCAGCACTGTTCACAGCAATGCTATTTTCTTTGCCATTATCTGCATTGAAATCCTTGTTGCTAAATTGACTGTTGCTGTCATTGCTGTCTTCAGAGCTAGCTTCATTGCATGAATCAATAGGGGGCGTTTTACTATCAGCAGCTAATTTTTCTTTCATGCCGTCCTACCAAAAATAGCTCAACTATCAGACTGTATAAAATATTAACGGAAGTTTTTTACCAGCAACATATAGCAGGCATTACTACAGGGATCCGTGAACGATTTCAACTCAGGAAAACGACGTTTTTGTAAATTAGGCCCAGCATGGCCAACCTGAAGACCTATTCCAAACCAATAGTTTGTTAATTCAATAAAAAAATAAGGAATAATTCATATCAATGGCGAGCACATGTTAGCTTCTCCGTTTTTAATGTACTAACATTGAAGGTTAGACATCAGAAAATGCGGTGATGCGATGAGTGGATGCGTTATGTGGTTAAATGTTAAATGATGTTGGCGAGACTGATGTTTAAGTTAAGGTACAATAATAAAATGGTTCATATATCACTTCTAAACTTACATGGTATTTTTGACGTCAATATAAACATACATACTTATATACTTATTTGTACTCTTATTTATATATAGGTATGTACACATATTTTCATGAGGGTTAAAGGAATTAAATAGACATTTAATTATACTAGCCAAACCCAGCTAGTGCTGTTGATTTGCCAAGTTTAAATGTCCCGAGATATTACAATACATTTTATAAATACATATATACATATAGTGTTGATGCTGCAGCTTTCAGGTAGACAAACTCTAATCTATTATCAAAGCAAATAACATTGGCGCTTTGTAACGATTTTTTTTTGTTTTTAACTTGAAAAGGATTTGAAAGAAGTACATGAATTGAGGTTTTTGAGCCTGTAAACTACTGCAGTGGTGATGATGTTGGTAAGTTATGTGAAAAATGGTTGACGATTCCGTTAATTTAAAATGAGTCTTATAAATATATATGCTTTCTTAACTACAACTCACCGTTCGTTTGGTGACCTAAGTTGCAGTTCATTTGCAGTTTCAATATGAAGTATCATAAGCATTTTTAAGGGGTTCATTTGGGTAATAATAGGCAAACGTTTTTTGCACGAAAAAGAAAAAGGAAAAGAGATTCTTTAAACTACAATTATTTTGTTCTGTTGCTGTATACACATTATTCTTAGTGTGGCTAATAACAATTAGAATTAACATTAATTTCTTTATATTCACAATAAATGCGCCCTTCAAATAACAACTTAAAGAAAAATACTTACGATGTAAAAAACAGTCGTATTTAAAACACCGCCGGCAAAACAGTGTGTGAAATGAATGCATGGTTCGTTCTCGAGACACACTTTCGGCTTTTTCCCCATCAATATTAGGAGTGCATTCTTGTGGCCTTTCAGGATCCTGGTGCTCTGTGAGCTCAATGTATCTAATAATACAAAATAAAACCACAATCATGTTGTTACATTCGTAAGATTTAACATAGCTTCGATTTACAAAATTCTTTTCAGGTATTTGTGAACAAAGTAGAAATAATTTTGCAATAAACCGATGTAAGCCATAAAGCTGACGGCTCTTCCCAGAAGATAATTTAGGTAGGCCTTCTTAATTAAAGCCATTCTAAGAGGCCTAAGATGCCTTCGAGAAGGGCTTATCCATTTACATTTTACGCGAATACGTAAATTTATATTATTTAGCATTACAAATTAATTTCAATAAGCATTTTAAGTTGCAATAACACATATTTGATATAAACCTTATGCAAATACTTCAAAGATGGATGATTTTTATAAATTAAAGCAGCTCTAAAATAACTCCTAAAAGCCCTTCTGGCAAGCCTTCCATGGGTAGCGAAAGAAGCCCTCCATACAAAAAAGAAAATAATGTAGAGTGGAAGGCCTTTCGGAAGGGCTTTTAACTCCTTAAATTATCTACTGGGTTTAGCAGTTTCCATTAAAAATCTTCATTATTCATCTATATATATTGAAAACCTATTTGCAAACCACACCGATTTCAAATCGTATGGTTTTCAGAACAGGCGCAATAAATAAGTGTACTTTCGAAAAAGATAAACATACTTTTCTTTTAACTCCTGTGGAGTTCCTTTGTCTGGGAAGTTAGAGCTTATTGCTTGAAAAATTATAGGAGCAGGAAACGGAAGTTTTTCCTTTGTCTCCTCATCCTCCTTCTTTAAGATATTCGTTTCTTCTTCCGATTTTGTACTCTTCAAATTGGTAGTTGAGTCTTTAACTTTTTCTTTCTCCTTATCGTCCTTAATTCCCGTTTCACTTTTTACAGTTTCTGACCTGATCTGCCCACCTACAGCGCCACTAGAAGATGTTTCTTCCTCTTTTGTATAATTACGCATCAAAGCGTGCACTAATTCAACAAAAATTGCATCATCCATAAAAGAAGGGTCCTTGTCTCCATGGACTTTTCCATCGTAGTTCTTTATTAGTTCCTCAATGAATTTCCCATCCTTATCTAGTACTTCATCCCCCATATACGGAATATTATGCAACACCGTTTCATCCTCGACCATAAAGTTTTGTTGTGTAGGTGCCCAAGTATACATTGTTGGGATTGGCGTAACCGCATTTATTACACAAATTGGGACTCGTTGGGGACCGCTACCGTTATAGCCAGAAACCTCGGCTCGTTTTATGCAGTCTAAATGAGGAGGATCATAAGGCTGAGCGTGCCATACTTTTGGCTCGCAATATAGATCTTGTACATTGTAGTTATGCTCCTCCCTAGAAAACATTCAAGAAATTATTTACAGAAAAACAAGGTTTTAGAACTAACCAGTTTTTTATCCAAGCTTCTTTGATTTCGTCAGCTCGTTTATAGCGTTTCTGTTGTCTAATTTTCATGTACTCCGTTTTAACACGGCGTTTCCATTCTAATGGAACTTTATTTGCACACATTTTCCATAAAATGCGAAAGCTACATGAAATCCCTTCACCTGGACAGAGAAAAATATATTGGTGAATAAGTGGCGGTAAAAGCATTCAACATCTGCTGATTAGCAATGTCAGAAAAACATCGATGGATCGAAAATATCGATGTTTAGCTTCGATGATCGAAAATTTTCCACTCGATGTATCGATATTTTTTGAAAATTGGCCCCCTAGTACATTGAACCAAGAATGAGGCTGCTTCAGCAAACGTTTTAGTAAACTTCATGGGGAGATTACGATAACCGGGGCAACGAATTTTGACCTTGCCTTTGGAAAACTGGGCGTCTCCGCTTTTCAAATATACCCACTTTTAGGGGTCGGGTCGGGGCCTTCTAGTTTTCAAGATATTTAGTCTTGAAAGTTATTTTTTATTTTTTTTTTTTAATACTAATATCTTATAAAATACATAACCGATTAAAAAACGCAATATTTCAAAATAAAGATAGATAGATAGAAAGAGAGAAATTGAATTTATGTTTCACAAATTTGATTTTAAGAATATAAAGATTGAAAATACATTCACTATTCCTTAAAAGCACCAAGTAAATGCAGGCAACATGTAAACACAAAACAGCTGATATGCACTTTGACGCTTTATCCATTTTTACCCGGAGCAAACATCTGAGCAGTTGCCGACAGGAAGAAGAAGAAGACACTTACGATGCAATACGTTCCAATTTTCGCTGTCTATTACCCATTTTGTTGCGTAGGGGAATGATTTCTGTGCTATTTTGTGCACTCGCTGGATCCTGCGTTGCGTACGGGAAAGAACCTATTGTGAAGTTTCGCTAACCGGCCGTCTTCACGTGCTGGAAAATCTCGCTTGTTTTCAACTGTCATTTTTGTTGTTTAACAGCTATGTTCTCATTTCGCAGAATTCTTCAGAGTAGCAACATCGTTTACTTTGGAGGCAAATTCAAATTTAGAGGCAGCCATTTTTTATTTGAAAACAGATTTTCTTATTTTCTCAAACTTTTAAGAGCCTGCAAGGCTTGAACCTTCTTGTTTGGCGACATTTTCAAATGCCCAGTCAACAAAACTCTATCTCGCTTGCGAGAGAGAAAAGCAGAACCAGAGATAAATCGATACCATCAAGGTATTACTCAAATCAGTACTTGTACTTGTATCAAACAAGGTATCGATACCTACTCAGTATCGGAAAGGTATCGAGTACTTGTACATAGAATTATTGATTTCAAAACCATTAGAATACATATTTACAAGATAAATAGAGAAATTTTTTTCATATAAAATAAGTTTAAGGAAAGAACTATTTTTTTTGTTATATTTCCCAAAAACATCAACTTTTCCAAGAGCTTTCCTGGAAAGCGGTTTCGAGATTTGGATAAAGTTGTACCTGTTTTTGAGAAAAGCCGGGAACAGATGACCCAACAACCGTTATATACACACAGGTTTCCTTATATAGCTGCCAAAATGTAGTGCGCATATCTTCCCATTCCTCTAATGGTTTGCTTTTCAAAGAAGATGCTGAATCATAATAAGTTTTGCGCTTCCGATACAAGTACTTTTTTTTTCGATACCTACTTGGATCGCAGTAAAAAGTATAGAGTACAAAAATTCTTGGTAAATCGAAAAAAGTATCGAGTATGTACTTGGATTTACTTGTATCGATTTATCCCTACGCAGAACGCAAGCCAGATTTCCAAGCATGTGAAGACGGCCGGTAAAACTGACATCGATAGTTTTCAAAAACTATCAATAGTGGCGACAGTTTTCAGATCGATACTATCGATATAGCTATATAATATCGATAGTATCCGAGCTCTAGAACGGTCAAAGGGGGACGAGTGCAAGAATCATATTTACTGAAAGAATTGTGAATTTGCAGCCACTAAATTCTATCTACACAAAAAATAAAATGAAATCTTCTTAGTAAGATATTAGGTTACTTTCTGTAATCACTGAAACAACTTTATACAATTGGTACCGGAAGTAGAGGATTAAAGCCTCAGTCAACTATAAAATTGCCATTATGGAGCCATCGGCCTGTGAAGGTATTTATGGTACAAGTGTATTTTCATTTGCATATATAATTATAGTATATGAATGATTATAATGTTATATTGGGCATTTAGCTTACTCTGATGTGCGCATATGTACATACATATATATGTATCTTATTTTTAACTTTCAGATTTAAAAGCCTTTGAGCGAAGACTAACGGAAGTAGTATCTTCTTATGGACCATCTACAATGCGATGGCGAAGTAAGTAATTTGCTGCGATATGCTTACATGTGCACATACATATGTATGAATGACAAAATGTTGATGCAAATCTTACTATTTTTCCTAATTTTTGCAGTAGTTCTTGCCACCATTTCCATATGCACAGCAATTGGTGCCTTTTATTGGCTCCGGGATCCGCGAACATCTATAGTGCCTTTAATGGAGTCTCTGCTCTTGCATCCCATATTCACCTTTGCTACATTGGCGCTCGGTAAATTTTTAAAATCAAAGCTTTTAATTTGTTTATGTAACCATACTTGCATGTCATTGCAGCCATTCTCTTTATTATGGGCATTCACAAATTGGTGTTTGCACCAAAAATTATAACAACACGAATGCGCACCGTACTTAGTGATTTTAATATGAGTTGCGACGATACAGGAAAGCTTATTTTGAAACCTCGACCCAACAATATTTTGGACGGTTGTGGACGTTAACCAAAGCACAAAATGATGCGAGACGAGCATACGGGCGCCGGTTCAGCTCAGACTACATTTAATATCGCCACAACGCTGTGCATTGATTTCATAAAGTGGCCGTTTTCAAAATATGTATGTGCATATATAAAGGGCATGGATGCTTACAATCTACTCGATGGGGGGAAAAAAACGTATCTAATTAGTAACTGAATCCGTATGCTGTAGCCTAGTTAATTTTAGATTTAAAAAAGTACCATTACCTGCTAATTATAAGCAATATTCACTGATGTACTACCATCTATTTTGATATTTTTAAGAATCAACATCTTCTGCCTATACGATGTGCAGCTTATGTATGTATGAATGTATTGAAGTAAGCAATTTACAAGTATATCCAAAATTACGCTAAATAAGCAGAATTGTGTCTGAAAAATCTAATCGTAGAGAGCTCGCTTAGCTACATATCGTCGTTTAAAGTAAAAATTATTTTCTAGAGAGTAAAGACACTCATATTTCAAAATTGTTCTCTTTTTTATAAATCAATCGCATTTCTGGCTAGTATATTTAAGGACGAATGGATTAGGATTGAGCCAAGAGCTTGTGTGAGCATATCCAATTTCTGGCGATACGCGGTTTTTTACTTTAAACGACGATATGTATACATATATACATGCGTAATACGTATTACGTATGTTTTGTATTCCAACTGCTATATTCTATGTATGTACATATGTATATAAAAGTATGTTACGACCCAACTGTAGAAATAGTTATCCAAAACATCGATTCTTGCGAGAAGGGAGTTGTATTTTGTAAATACTTATGAATAAATTCAAGGAATGCCAAAACCCCAATTGCAGCTACGTTCAAAGACTTTTATTTACACAGAAGAAAAATTATTATTAATACATACGTATTTCTGTATAATGCAATTCTGTGTTTATAACAAAAAATGTATGCCGTATTGAAGCTTAATATTAATAAATTCTATAAAATCGGATCACTGGTATTTGAGAGCAGCATTTCCTTAAATACCTGAAAGTCTTGCATCACGCCATACCTTAATGAATAAATTTGTGACCTTTTTTTCTTGAGGCTAAAAGTCTAAAGCGGCAATTTGTACCCTCTTATCAAATGACTATAACTGTTATTGTAGGGTATTAACGTTGATCATAGAGCTTTTACCTTATGGTCGCCTTTATAAAAGGTGCATTCCAAAACGTCAAAATACAAAGCATCAGTCTCTTTTACTTCTAAACTTCAGTAGAATGTAGCATGATACAAATATTTTTTTATAAATATTTCTATCATGGATTGTAGTACAGTAAAAAGAGAAGTTATAAGGCAGAACCATGATTCAATAATAGAAAGGTTTTGTAATAAAACAGTCTCTCGCTCCCACATACAAAATCGGCTCCTTTACTTGAGCACAATGTTGCTCACTCTACAGTTTCTAGTTATGAGTAGTAAACCAAAAATTCTTCTACTAAATATTCGTTGGCATCACCATCGTTTGCGCAATTTTCTGTAACAAGTCTAGAATATCGACCGTTTGGCTATAAATAACCATAACCGCCGATTTATAGAACTGTTTACGCTGATTTCAACGATACCAAATTTATTTAGCGCAGTTAAAAAATAAGATGTGAGAGGTTTATTTGCTTTGTTTGTTTATATTTTTTATTATCACTAAATTCTTCAGCCTTGAAATCCAACGGAGAATCACTCTTGCCAACAAGTGCTACTTTGGGCTGAGTAGGCAATTGAGAAGTAAAGTCCTCTCT